GGATTTCTCAAGCCTTTGGTCACATCACATCCACCAATATTGGCCGAAGCAAGTCACCTGGCCGAGCCCAAGTCAAGGGGGCAGGAAGGTACCCTCCTCCCAGAGAGGGGAATTACAAATGGGTGGATGCAGGGAGGTATGGAGATTTGGAGCCAGTAATTCAATCCACCAGAGTCTCCACAGGAAGGCAAGTTAGAAAATACAGTTGACCCTTCAACAAAGGGTCAGGTTAGGGGCACCGACCCTTTACACATAACTTGTGGTCCTCCCTCCATATATGCCATTTGGTTCCTCCATATCTGTGGTCTGCATCTGCGGATTCAACCAACTGTGGATCGTGTAGTACTGTAGTATGTATTTATTGAAAAAATCCACGTATAAGTGGACCCGTGCAGTTCAAACCTGCGTTGTTCAAGGGTCACCTGTATGTTGTACAGGAGGGGAATTGGTGTGGGTGGGTTTGGAAGGTGCAACTACTATTTATACTGCTTCCCACCCATAGCCGTACTCCTTTCCTTTTATCATAATAGAATTTTTAGCTTGGCATGTGACTGTATTTCACGGCTAAAGCCGATATTTCCCAGACTCCTCAAATGAGGCTATTTGACTAAGTTCTGGCTAAAGAGATGTGAGTGGAAATGATGTCTGCAATTTCTGCCTTAAAGGGATGCAATTCTCTCTCCACCTCTCCCTCGAGCGTGCTTCCTGGAATGTGGGTGCGGTGCTGAGCCCTCTTGGACCCTGCGAGTGCGGGCAATGGCTTCAGGATGGCAGAAGAGGAATATAGTAGGAGGGTGGCTCCCTGGGCTGCTTATGTTCATATAGTTAGATAGAGGAGATTTAGGCTGGCATTATTTTGGGTCTTCACTTCAGCAGCCAAATCTGTAATTAATACAAACTGATAGGAACCTCTACTCTTATACCTAATTGAAGGGATAACACAGAGAGAGATACCAATTAATTTTTTTCAGAACTTACTGGACTAAGAGAGAAGAGATGATCACAATTTAAATTTTTCTCCATGTCACTCCTGTCTAGTATTTTGAAAGGCATGATCAGTGAGCTAATTGTCAATGCAAATTCACCCTAATGATAACAGGACAAGCAATACCAGTTCTGAACCAGTTCTGGACCAATGCTGGCTCTGTCCATGAGCAGAGGGCCTGGTGGGAAAGAGAGGTGCGGGGAGAGAGCTATTTGTCGCTTGTTTGAATATGCCTCACGAGCAGGAAGTAGAGAGGAGGATTCAAACCTGGGTCTATTTGGCTCCCAAGCCTGTCTCCTTTCATTTGACACTAATTATATCAGAGAACCCTGTGAGACGTCCAGTTACTCTAGAATCTATGGTGGTTTCTCCAAACGACCTCTTTGGACATCCATGGCATGGGCGCCAAGTGGACTTTTGCCTCTTTGCTCATTGATAACAAAGAGATTGGTCTAGTACTTTTATGTAAAGAGCACGAATCACGATTCCTCCATTATCTCCCTGCTTCTGTTAGAGAGACCTGGTGCCTTGACCGATTTCTTGTGGCAAAGAACAAAATACAACCCAGAAAGCCCAGACTCTCAGGAAGGTTACTGTTGGATCATAGGAGACAGCGTGGCGGGGTGGAAGCTAGGTGGCCATGGGTTCAAATCCCAGTTCTTGGAAAATTATTTAACCTGTCTGATCTTCAATTTCCTCGTATGGTAATTGGAGATAGTAGGTGTTATTATAGCTACTCTAGAGCCAGCACTTTGTGCTGGTTTATGTCAAACCTGGCCTAGCTCCTCTGCTCTCAGGCACAGCAACTGCTTTTAAGAATCTTATAATTCCCTGAAGCTTGCAGGCATTATTTAGTGGATCACGGCAATGAGTGATGATTAAAGAATACACCAAACTCTGGCACCAATGGTTGGAAGACTGGCCAAAGGACAATTCTCCATCTCTGGCCAAGAGGACTAACCCTTTTGTTAAAGCCCATTTAATGACCTGCCTGGTTGAGTTGTTGGTGGGAGTCTCCTTGCTGGCAGCTGACTCCCAACCAAGTTGTACGGGTGATCCCTGTTTTACCTAATAAGTCCTTGGAGGAAAGCTGGAGGCTGGGATACAACCCTGCCTATGGCAGGCAGGGCTGGACTGAGTTCATTCATAGACTCATTCATTGAAAAGTTTGAAAACCAGGGGCTCTGCTTCTGGAGAATTAAAGTTGGTTTTCTTAAGTCTGCTTTTCTTTGGACTTCTGCCCACCTGGTGTAACCTGGGCATGCTATGTACTTATTTGAACAAGTATATCTAGGAGGAGAGGAAAAAGCATGAACGGGTGGAGTGGAATCTCTTTAACATCTGCTCTGTGATTTATAAAATAAGTGTGATGCCATGCCATTACGGGATGCTTTCCAGGAAAATGGAGCTATGGTACAGAGAAATACCTTCTAAAAAATGGCAAAAGTTCACCTATACTTCTAAAACTGTTGAGTATAACAGAAAAGAGATATTTCATTACACAGCCATTTAGAAAAGGTTTGTAAAGCTTTTCCCTGACTCAGGGCCATATTTTGATAAATAGAATGAATCTGCTTTGCCAGTTGATTCTTTTCACTCAATATTCCATTCATAATATGTATATTACATATATAGCCAATATAGTGGATTTATAGTAACCAGTTGTTATCAACGTGAATTGCTTCATTTCTCCTGCTTGGCTTCTCCCATTCATCAGTTCTCTTAAGATTTCATTGCTGACTGGCCATATTCACCTTTCTCTTCTTTCTTTTTTTTTTTATTTATTTTTATTTATTTTATTTATTTATTTATTTAGGCTGCATTGGGTCTTCTTTGCTGCGTGCGGGTTTTTTCTCTGGTTGCGGTGAGCAGGGGCTACTCTTCATTGAGGTACACGGGCTTCTCATCGTGGTGGCTTCTCTTGTTGCAGAGCACGGGCTCTAGGTGTGTGGGCTTCAGTAGTTGTGGCTCGTGGGCTCTAGAGCACAGTCTCAGTAGTTGTGGCGCACGGGCTTAGTTGCTCCACAGCATGTGGGGTCTTCCCGGACCAGGGCTCAGACCCGTGTACCCTACATTGGCAGGCGGATTCCCAACCGCTGCGCCACCAGGGAAGCCCACCTTTCTCTTCTTAGTTCAGTAATATTTAGGCCTCTCAGCTAATCTGTAGATCATCTAACACAGTGTGTGGGTTTTCCTCCATGTTATCCGGAGCACTTGTGTGTAGCGTTTGGCATGGAAGAATCAGCTCTTCCTTCAGGGTGCATTTGTTTTGAAAGGATTCGGGCTGGAAGTGATGCTTGAGCTGTATCTTAAAGGAGGTACTTTCCAGGTAACAAAGGTAGGGAAGGGAAGTTCAGGTAAAGTGTGGGGGTAAGAAAGAGCATGGAGGAAATTGCAGGTGGCTTGCAAGGCTGTCCTGGCACATGGCAAGGGAGGGCAGGGTTGCAGCTGGAGGGGAGGCTGGAGGTGCAGCTGAGGACCTGGTCACAAGGCCCTTATCTCCCCTGCATGTATGTCCTGCAGGCAACTCAGAAGATTTTAAACTGGGGGTAAGGGTTAGAATGGACTTAGACTTAGGGACATAAGAAGGAGGAACCTGATCAGATTTGCATGACAGTGATGTGGGCAACGGGCAAGTCTTCAAATTAGCCTCAGTGTCCTCATTCCTAAAGTAGAGAGAAAGGTTTTGCACCAAGGTTGGAAAAGGTAATGTATGTGCAAGTGCTAAATATATTTAAACTTCTATTATTATTATTGGACTTCTTTGAGCCATGAATGAGTTAACATCCTTCATTTTTCAAGAGATCAGTTTTGTCATCTGAGGCAAAATACACATGCTTAATATTGTTACCTGATTTATATAGGGATATATGATTGATTGTTTGATTGGCTGCGTTGGGTCTTCGTTGCTGCGTGCAGGCTTTCTCTAGTTTCAGTGAGCGGGGGCTACTCTTCGTTGTGTTGCACGGGCTTCTCATTGCAGTGGCTTCTCTTGTTTCGGGGCACAGGCTGTAGGTGCGAGGGCTTCAGTAGTTGTGGCCCACGGGCTCTCGAACGCAGGCTCAATAGTTGTGGCGCACGGGCTTAGTTGCTCTGCAGCACGTGGGATCTTCCCAGACCAGGGCTCGAACCCATGTCCCCTGCATTGGCAGGCAGATTCTTAACCACTGCACCACCAGGGAAGTCCCAGGGATATATGACTTATGTAGCTTTCTATTTCCTTAAACAACTGATTTTTAAAATGGGAGCAGGTCTTACTATTTGTTGTCTGCTTTAAACTCTAACTGCTAAAATTGGAAGGATATGGGAAGACCTGGTGAACGCTGCTCATGAAGAGGAAAAGAAAGGGTTTTTTTCTTTCTGGTCGTGCACTCATTCTTTCAAGAGTCATTTAAAAAGAAAAAGTTTCCATCTTCTCATAGCAACTCAAGTGCTTGAGGACCTCATGACATTTTACCAAAACTCTCCTCCCAGAAGGGCATCAGTGGTGAGTAGGTGAATAGAAACATGGTGTATATATAGCTAAATATAGAGGAGTACATGAGGCATCTGGTAATGTGTGATTTTCATCTGATTTTACTGTGTTATTAAGACGAACCCTGCTTCCTAAAGAAAATTAGAACATTTTCAAAGCTCGAGTCTGAATCCTGCCTCATTCCTTGGTGATGATGTGACCCAGGAAATGACATCACCTCCCTGAGTGCTCCCCTCTATAAAATGGGGAGAGTAGTAAGGCCTACTTTTTAGGGCTGTTGGGAGGATGACATGAGATCATCTGCTTGAAGCCTGACAAATGATAAGCACTGGGTAAGTTGTTATTAGGAACACCCTCAGCTGTGGGAGCCAGCACCATTCTCTTCTGAGCATGGCATCAGACGTTCAAGTTGCTTCTGAACATGAATCTTAATTGACACCTAAGAAACCAGAAGAGGATGAAAAAGAGGATAGAGTTTAGTCTATAGAAGGTCTTGAGCCTGAAGAGGTAGCAGAGTCCAGTGCCTGTCTTGTGTCATAGGGCCCAGATGACAGCGGGTCCTACCAGCCCGACCAGACTACATGGACAGGACAGCAGGGCATAAAGGTGCTGAGGAGGTGACCATTCCTGGGCTGCAGAGATGGCATGAACAGTGACCAGGGCAAGACAACACAGTCCACACAGCTGCAGGTGTGAAAATCAAACTCTGTCTTTATTCTTTTACCATTGTATGTGGGATAGGTAGCAGCACTGCTGGGGAGCTCCTTGGGAGGAGAGGAGAGGGAATCTGTTGGATGGAAATCTTACCTTTGAGCATCAGTTACATCTAAGCCTGTTTTCAGCACATTTCATGTTAGACTTTTCAATGGCAAGTCAAGGAGTAGAAGGTAGATGGGCTCAGACAAAAGGTTCTTTGCAAGAGTTCAACATAGTGGCCAAGATTTTATTCTTGCATTTCATCATGCATGTGCCTTGGAATTATGGATTTTTTGGAATCTGACTGAAGAAAACATAAACTTTCCAGGTAGTGTATAGCTGTCCCCATCTTTCTAGCATCTCTGCCTTTGGCTGATGTGATGCCATACTTTCCTGACATTTAATATCAGCTCTGGTATGGGTCTGATACCAAGTATATTCATACCTCAGCCATAAAACAGGACCTTCTAGATAGCCAGATTCAGGTGCTCTGCCCTTCCCAACAGATGCCTCTCCACCACCCCTGACTCCGCCAAAATGAAGTAAAAGCACATCCTGAGTTGACCACTTCCTCTGAGCCTGGCAGACACACAGCAAGAGTCTCGGCTGGTGATGGGCTTGACGCATGGCCCACTTGACTGAGCCACACATATGCTCAGGCTTGACCTACACTGGCAAAATCTGCAAGGACACTTCTTAGACATTTCAAGTGATTGATTCCTCTGAGGAAATGATACATTAAAAAAATACACATATACACACATATTTAATTATTTTTTTAAACCACAACTGAAAAAAATTCTTTGCCACTGTGTAGAATTAAATCTGACAAGAAACCCTATGAGTTTTTATTAGTACCATTATTGTCTTCTTTGGCTTCATGTACTATAATGGTAAAATAACAAAAAAAAAAAAGAAAAAAATTGTAAAAAGGCAAATATTTTGTACAAAAATACAAAGTTTTAAAAGCTCTTTAAGTATATTTCATATTGTTACTAAAAGTTGACCTATATATCTGTATGTCTGCATATTTTTCCTACATGTGGGATTTTAAAAATGTAAGGTACTGTTTATACAGTATACGTTTTCAGTTCTTCCTAAAGCTCAACAACCAATGATAATCTTTTTTCTGATTGGAGCATTCCATACTCTGGAAGACATGATTTGCATAACTGTACGATTACTGGCTGAGAAAAATCTATGTGATTCAGTCCACTTGCATACTGAAAATCAATGTATCATACTGGGGGAACACTTTTGTTCCCAAGTCCTTAAGTAATGGCAGATGGTAAAGAACGTTGGCTGTCAATTTTTTCAGTAATTGGTTTTCAGTGCTTTTTTTCAATCTGGTGAGAAGGTGATGCAATGAGGAAGAAGTATCTTTTGCCTTTGAGAACTGTCCGAAAATTTGTTCTTATTATTATATCACAGTCCATTATAATGCAGGTGATGGTACTAAAAGAAAGGAAAAAGGATGGGTGTTAGTTTTTCTTAAAGAACATTGTTAATGTATAATTCAAAAAAGGAACGTGTTTTTATAGGAAACATTCCAAATACATCGTTCAATAATTATTTTTTCAAATAAATGCCTAGAAATTCTTACTCAGATTAAATAAAAGGTAAAATTCACTTTGAAAGAGCCTATTTTGGGGAATCCTAGTCCCAACTCAAATCCCAAATGGCCAAAGAAGGCTAACAAATGACAAATCTGGGTCACTTGTCACCCTCTACTGTAATCTCTTGTTGAGATATTTGTGTTCTTTTCCTGAAACTGACCAGAATGGGAGTTCCTTACGTGTCTGGAGACCTCTAGCACTTGGACGAGTGCTTGACACACTAGAGGTTTTCAATACATGACTGTTGAATGGATAAATGCATAATTTGTGCCCCAGTTACTATCAAAAATAATTTGAGCAAAATATATTTTTGTCATCAACTTTGTTTTTAAAAATTGAGATAAAATTGACATATAACATGTTAGTTTCAAGTGTACATGATTCCAAATTTGTATATATTGCAAAATGATCACCACGGTAAGTCTAGTTAACGTCCACTACCACATGTAGTTATAATTTTGTTGTTGTTGTGATGAGAATTTTTAAGATTTACTCTTTTAGCAACTTTCAGATATATAACAGGATTATTAACTATAGTCACCATGCTGTACATGACATTACATTACCATGCCTTGTTTATTTTATAACTAGATGTTTATACCTTTTGAGCCCCTTCACCCATTTTGTACACCCCACCACTCTCCGCCTCTGGCAACCACCTGTTTTCTGTATCTATGAGTTCCATTTTTTTTTTTTATAAGGTTCCACATAAGTGCGATCATATGGTGTCTGTCTCTGTCTGACTTATTTCACTTAGCATAATGCCCTCAAGGTTAATCCATGTTGTCACAAATGGCAATATTTCATTCTTTTTTATGGCTGAATAATAATATTCCATTGTATTTATATACTGCATTTTCTTTACCCATTCATCTATTGATGGACCCTTAGACTGCTTCCATATTGTAAATAATGCTCCAGTGAACATAAGGGTACATATATCTTTTCAAGTTAATGTTTTTGTTTCTTCAGATGAATACCTAGAAGTGGAATTGCTGGATCATATGGTAGTTCTATTATATTTTTAATTTCTTGAGGAACCTCCATACTGTTTTTCCATAGTGGCTGCACCAATTTACATTCCCACCAACAGTGCATAAGTGTTCCCTTTTCTCCACATCCTCGCCAACACTTGTTATTTCTTGTCTTTTCTATAATGACCATTTTGACAGGTGTGAGGTGATATCTCATTGTGGTTTGCATTTCCTTGATGATTAGGGATGTTGAGCAGCTTTTCATGTACCTGTTGGCCGTCTGTATGTCTTCTTTGGAAAAATGTCTGTTCAGATTTTATGACCATTTTTCAATGGGATTGTTTGGTGTTTTGCTATTGAGTTGTGTGAATTTTTCATATATTTGGGATATTAGCACCTTATCAGTTCTATGATTTGCAGATATTTTTTCCCATTCAGTAAGCCGACTTTTCATTTGTTGATGGTTTTCTTTGCTTTGCAGAAGCTTTACGGTTTGATGTCGTCACACTTGCTTATTTTTGCTTTTGTTGTCAGATCCAAAAAATCATTGCCAAGATCAATGTCAAGGAGATTATCACCTATGTTTTCTTCCAGGAATTTTATGGTTTCAGGTCTTACATTTGAGTCTTTCACCCATTTTGAGCTTATTTTTGTGTATGGTGTAAGAGAGTGGTCCAGTTTCATTCTTTTGCATGTGGCTGTCCAGTTTTCTCAACAGCATTTATTGAAGAGATTGTCCTCTCCCCACTGTATATTCTTGGCTCCTTTATCATAAGTTAGTTGACCAATAATCCATATGCATGGATTTATTTCTGGGTTATATATATTCTGTTTCACTGATCTATGTATCTGTTTTTATGCCACTACCACACTGTATTGATCCCTGTAGCTTTGTAATATAGTTTGAAATCAGGGACTGTGTCTAGCTTTGCTCTTCGTTCTCAAGATTACTTTGGCTATTTGGGGTCTTTCATGGTCCATACAAATTTTAGGATTGTTTGTTCTATTTCTGTGAAAAATGCCATAGGAATTTTTCTAGGGATTGCATTGGATCTGTAGATTGCTTTGGATAGTACGGACATTTTAACAATATTCTTCCAATCCATGAACACAGAATATCTTTCTATTTATTTGGGTCTTCTTCAGTTTCTTTCATCAATGTCTTATAGTTTTCAGTGTATAGGCCTTTCACCTCCTTGGGTAAATTTATTCCTAGGTATTTTTTTCCTTTTTGATGCAACTGCAAATGGTATTGTTTCCCTAATTTCTCTTTCTGATCGTTTGTTATAGTGTATGGAAACACAACATATTTTTGTACATTGATTTTTGTGTCCTGCGACTTTACAGAATTCATTTATTAGTTCTAACATTTTTTTTTTGGTGGAGCCATTAGGGTTTTCTATATATAAAATATCATGTTACCTGCAAATAGCGACAGTTTTACTTCTTCCTTTCTGATTTGGATGCCTTTTTTTTTTTTTTTTTTTTTTTGCCTAATTGCTCTGGCTAGGATTTCCAATACTATGCTGAATAAAAGTGGTGAGAGTGGGCATCCTTGTCTTGTTCCTGATCTTAGAACAAAAGTATTCAGCTTTTCACCATTGAGTATGATGTTAGTTGTGGGCTTGTCACAGACCCTCTATAGAGAGTTTCCCTCTACAGGGAATCCATTTGAGAGTGGTTTTCTTTTTTATCATAAATGAACACTGAATTTTATCAAATGCTTTTCTGCATCTATTGAGATGATATATGATTTTTTTCTTTCATTCTGTTAATGTAGTGTATCTCATTGATTGATTTGTGGATGTTAAACCATCTTATATCCCTGGAATAAATCCCACTTGATCATGGCATATAATTCTTTTACTGTATTGTTGAATTCGGTTTGCTAATATTTTGTTGAGGATTTTTACATCTATAGTTCATCAAGGATATTGGCCTGTAATTTTCTTTTCTTGTAGTGTCCTTGTCTGGCTTTGGTATCAGGGTAATGCTGGCCTCATAAAATGAGTTTGGAAGTGTTTCCTCCTCTTCTATTTTTTGGAAGAGTTTGAGAAGGATTGGTATTAATTTTTCTTTAAACGTTTGGTAGAATTCACTAATGAAGCCATCTGGCCCTGGACTTTTGTTTATTGGGAGGTTTTTGATTACTTATTCAATCTCTTTACTAGTAATTGGTCTGTTCAGATTTTTTTATTTCTTCATGATTCATTTCTTTGTAGATGGTATGTTTCTAGGAATTTATTTCTCATAGGTTGTCCAATTTGTTGGTGTATAATTGTTCATAGTGATCTTTGTATTTCTGTGATACCGGTTACAGTGTCTCCTCTCTCATTTCTGATTGCATATATTTGAGCCCATATTTTTTTCTTGGTAAATCTAGCTAAAAGTTTGTCGATTTTGT